TCAATGAAGAAGACTTTATTAATACTTATTCATAAATACTAGTCATGAACTAGTAACTGATAACAAAACACGTTCCAGGATTTACTTGCTCCCACTAGTAACTTTATTAAAACTTTATATGTAACAAGTTATATACTGAATTGCAGACTTGCATTGATTTTCATTTGTAGTGGGAGTAGGAATGTTACTTAATTAAGTTTTTCACAATTTCGCATCTGTTTCGATCGTTTCATTTTAACCCCTCCACCTAATAGGTACTATAAATACATGCAACTTCGTCTTCAAAACATCAGGTAGAAATAGAAATGGAGTCAAAGTTAGTCACTACATGTAAAAAAAAATAACAGAAGTGCGAATATATATATCTCACCAACAAGTTTAATGTCTGTGTTCTCCACAAACCACTGTGCTCCATCCCTCATAAATCCCACATAGCTGCTGTCAAACTCATTCTTGAACATAAGCCGCCTAAAATTGAAGTAAGCTCTAGTTAATATAATGTTTCTTTGATAAATACACCATAATCTCATGCCCTCTCGACGCAACAGGAAGCCAATTTGCAAACTTATTCCCAAAATTATAGTTCTCAACCCTAATTAAGTTATAATAGCAAACATGTAACAGCAATTGATAAATACACCCCTATAATCTGTACAGCACACCCAAATTCCCAGAAACCCTAGAATGACGATACAATTAAAAACGGAAACAGAAAATTAGGGATATTAACATGGTCAATGAGGAGTTGTATTATAACCCATTAATTGGGCAAAAAAAAAAAAAAAAACTTGTGTTCAATCTTGTGAAAAAAGGAATTTGAGTAGAACAAGTTTAACATGATCAATGAGGATATTAACAAGTTTAAAGAACACAAGGAAATACATGTGTTCAATCCCCTATAATCTGTACAGCACACCCAAATTCAATTTAAACTTGTGTTCAATCCTTGTGTTCTTTAAACTTGTTAATATCCTCATTGATCATGATAAACTTGTTCTACTCAAATTCAATTTTTACCAAATTTCTGTGAGTTACTGCTAACTCATCCTAAGGTTGGTTCATAGTCCAAAAAACACTAGTGTTGATGCGTTGAATTCTCATTTTCCTTTCGTATTTCCTTGTCCTCTTTAAACTTGTTTTACTCAAATTCCTTTTGTGATTCAATTTGTATTTTGAAATATGTGGGGAATTGTTGGCATTTTTTATTGGGTATTTCAAAATACAACTCCTCATTGATCATGTTAATATCATTCTTAATGATTTTTTCTAATCTCAATTTCAGTTTTTTTTGTTTTTCGCAAACCAAAAACTGAAGCATTAAAGCGGTTATAATATTGGGGCTATAAATTACATTTTCTCTTTGAATATGCCATCTTGATTAACCCATTAATTGGGCAATTATATTTTTTGAAGAAAAACTGGGCAATTATATAGTCTAACGTTTGTAGACCATGCTTAATCATGTTTACTTTTCTCATGTTCTATACAAAACAACTCTTCAAGCCGTGAGTATTATGGTTGATCTTTACCTAGACTACTCCTTTGCTATTGAACTTCAAATATTTTCTTTCCTACAAACCTCATCTAGTCTCAGAATATCCAGACTTTCAGATTCCATGTCTTAAGCTAAGATTGTTATGTACTCCAATTTTGCAGGTTGCCTGGGAAGGTCTTATTGATGCCCTTGTTCACCATACCATGATATTACCCCTTGAGACAAATGCGACAAAAAAGCGACAAAAAAGGACAATGGTATGGAACAAATAGGAACATGCAAAGGAAACGATAGTGAAATTCAAAAAAACGGATACTTAAAAAGCACAAAGCTCATTATGACACCACTGATAGGCATCATGTCGACTAAATGTGATGTATCTGTTCACTTAGCTTGCTTGAACACGTGGTGTTATTTATTGCATAAACTTGATACCTCTCTCAGTGATTCTTCTATCATCAGAATGGTACTAGAGCCTGTTGTTGACGCAGTTTTTCAAGTTGATCCTGATAGTAAGAAAATTAATCAAAGTTCTGATCTTAAAGCTTAATCAGTTTCCTGTATATGATTTTTTCTTCTTCTTAGAAATCTTAATTAAAAAGCTTAATCAGTTTCATGTATAATCCACCGCCAGCGATCCACAACAATTTTCAGGATGTGGTCTTCAAGTCCGACTCTCTGGAGCTCATCAACAACATCAAGGGTGACTTCAAGAACGGAAACTGGACCATTTTTCCCTTGCTAATCCAAATTCGGAATCTCTCCATTCGTTTTCATTCGATCAACTGGCGGTGGTTCCTTGTCAAGCGAATTGTGCAGCCGATTAGGTTGCTTCGCAATGTAAAAGAGGGATGCACTCTGATGTTTGGGTCATAAGGCCCCCATCCTCTCTAGTTCACATTTTATCCAAAGATGGTCTCCCTTGCCCCCCATAAAACTTTGGAAGTTGCGTTTGGGAAGGATAGCAGATTGGACCTCAGCCTCGCTTTTGTGTCGTGCTCTGCCTTCTTCCCAGGCTCAGCTATGGGCGAGACCTCTTTTGGCTTTCTTTGTTCTGTATTTCTTTACTTTTACTCTGCCTTGTTCTGTCTTTCTTCCTTGTATTGTTGTTTGGCTTATGGGCTCTGCCCTTAATGAAATGCTACCTCTTGTCCAAACAAACAAAAAAAAAAAACGTTAGAGGGAGAGCGTGAGTGGTGTTGCAACAAAATGGGACAAGATATGTTGGTGAAAATTCTACTATCTTTGCCTCCCAAAACTCTGATGCGATTCAAATGTGTCTCTAATATGGTAAGTAAATTGGTAGACCTTTTGTGATATTTCGTCCCAAAATTTAGTTTTATTTCATTTTTTGAAGTATTTCAGAGATTGAATTGGAGATAGTTCATTAAATTTTCCGTTTTTTGAGAAAAGAAGGAAGTTAGGGGTATTTTGGTCATTTCAAGTTAGTGGGCACTTTAGTAATTTGACCACATTTCTATAAATGGAGGTGCGGCTTCCGAAAGACTCCAGAGGCTTTCCATAACGAGAGGGGACCTGCTGACCCGTGTTTAGGGCGATCGGGTCGTCGACCCGCCAACTTGACCTGCTCATATCTCCTTCATTAGATAGATAAGATGCATGCATACCTTTCACCAAATTACTTCAGTCTAAAATAGAGGTTCAATTGCCACCAAAGGCCCAATTGCTAGTGTAGAACAAAAATATAGGCGTAAATATCAGTTTACTACCCTTAAGTTTCGTGGTTTTCAACATTTGGTACATGAAGTTTTTTTCGTCCCAGAGTCATACCTAAAGTGTTAATTTTGGGACAGTCTCATACATCTGTTAGTCAAACTATTAACTCTGTCGTTAATTGATGATGTGGCCCCTATGCTGGACAATGACTGGACGCCACGTGTCATTAAAGGGTCCAAGTAGAAATTAAAAATTCAAAAAAAATAATTATTTAAAGAAAAGTTATTAAAATAATTAACTAATAATAATAATAATAATAATAATGATAAAGCAAAACCCAGATTGTCTTCCCCAAGTCCCCCGTGCCCACTTTCCCACCCCATCACCCGCAACCACTTATCTCCCCACCCTCCCTCCCTCACTTTTTCCTTGTCAAAATCTCGAGCACCTTAACCTCTCCCAGAACCTTCTCACCAGCGTCCTCCCCGCCACCCTCCCTAACCTAAAATACCTCGACCTCACCGAAAACAATTTCTCCGGACCAATTCCCAACTCCTTCAGTCGCTTGCAGAAACTCAAGGTCCTCTCTCTCGTTTACATTCTCATCAAAAGCACCATCCCCCAGTTTCTCGACAACATTTCCACCCTAAAAATGCTCAACCTTTCCTACAACCCGTTTCACCCGGGTCGGATCCCGGCGGAACTCGGCAATTTGACAAACCTTGAGGTGATCTGGCTCACCGAGTGAAACTAAGTTAGCGAGATTCCCGACTCATTCGGTCGCTTGCAGAAACTCGAGGTCCTCTCTCTCGTCTACAATCTCATCAAAAGCACCATCCCCCAATTTCTCGACAACATTTCCACCCTAAAAATGCTCAACCTTTCCTATAACCCGTTTCACCCGGGTCGGATCCCGGCGGAACTCGGCAATTTGACAAACCTTCAGGTGCTCTGGCTCACCGAGTGAAACTAAGTTGGCGAGATTCCCGACTCGCTGGGTTGTCTCAAAAACCTCAAGGATTTGGACCTCGCCATCAACGGCTTCGAGGGGATAATGGGACGGGAGAAAGAGGACGACGGCGGGATTTTTGGGATGGGGGAAGGGGGTGGGCTCGGGTGGCGACGACGGGATTTTTGGGAGCGATGATGGGGGATGGAGGCGCAATGGGGAGGGAAGTGGTTGCAGGTGATAGGGGTGGGAGGGTGGGCATGGGGGGATTTGGGGAAGACGATCTGGGTTTTGCTTTTGCCTTTTTTTTTTAACTTTTATTTAAATAATTATTTTTTTTGAATTTTTAATTTCCACGTGGATCCCTTAATGACACGTGACGTCCAGTCATTGTCCACATAGATGTCACATCATCAGTTAATAGCAGAGTTAACAGTTTGATTAACGGATGTATGAGACTATCCCAAAATTAACACTTTAGGTATGACTCTGGGACGAAAAAAACTTTATGTACCAAAAGTTGAAAACCATGAAACTTGAGGGTAGTAAACTGATATTTACCCAAAATATAGATACAATGAATGCATATCTCAATACATGAAAATTGACATGATTAAGATCTACTGACACACCCCGATCCCGATATTTCCCGAATACCAGGATAGGCACGTGCTGGCCGACACCTGAGGGTGACGAAAGCCATTTATTGATGCAATTGCTGAAAATAAAGGATAACTAAGACTTATAAATATAAAAGAATAAGCATTTAAGGAACGTGTTCAAAGCATATGACTAACTAGAATACAAAAAAAAAACGATATAAAATTTGATGAACAAAGGAATGGGTCCCAAACCAGAACTCGAAGACGCCGATGCGGAAGTGCCTGGATGCCGGGATTGTATGCCTCGATTCTAAGCCCTGAAGGGGGCGCAAAACAAACATGAGTGGACCAAGTTGATATATATATAATAAAACAGTTATCAACGTACTAGCCCCCAGGTTTATGAAAACACATATATAATGATAAACACAGTATCTCAAATCATAACTCATATATAATAATCACTAGTGAATTGTCCGATAACCCCCAGGCCCCATGCCGGCTCCCCGTCTCTGAGCAGACAGTAAGAGGAAAATACACTTCAGGCCCCATGCTGGCTCCCCGTCTCTGTGCTAAATAGCCAGAGGAAACACACTCCAGGCCCTATGCCAACACCAAACCGTCGCCCGGGACGGACCGGAATCTATCCCTACGTCCCGTAGCGGAAATGACCACTAGGTAAGTACGAAACCATTGAACATATATATATTGAAAAACAACTTCATAGTATAAAATCATCCATCATCTATACTATAAAGAGGTGTTCGAAACATGTTCTAAATATCATATCGTCATCCATCGGATATTCTATAAGAACACGGGTTATAGGAAAATAGTAATAATTCAAAGTGGCCTCAGTAAGCATGTTATCTTACAAAACGTTTCGTAAAACGTAATCATCAAATCATGCTTTTCATGTATGCATTTCTACTATAAAACATGCATTTTAGAAGGGGTCCACTCACAGTACTTAGCCGCCGAAGAGCCACGCAAACTATCAAAGAAGGAATGCCACATATAATTGCCCCTAATCACATAAAGAGTCCAATTAATAAAACTCTATTATAGCAATTGAATTTGGGAAAATGGACATTGGAAACGGATTCAGAACGTCGAATTACCCTAAGAAGGGTCTCGGACGAAAACCCAAAAAGTCAACCCTAAAGTCAACGTTGACCGGGGTCAACGGTCAAATTAGGTCTAACGGGTTTTATGCTTGAAATCCAGATTAGGGTTTAGGTTAAATAGGATTATGATCTATTGAGTTTTGGAATTCTAAGGTTTTGGGTTAAAAGGGTTTAGGGTGAAAAGGGGTGGTTTGGGCTTAAGCCCAAACTCACACACAACACACACACACTCACACACTACACAACCCTAAAACACACACACACACACGGGCTGCACAAGGCAAGCCCTCATAACACACACACACAAAGGCCCAAAGGCCTCACAACCAAGAGGGTTGGGCTCGGCAAGGAAGGCCCAAAGGCCTTGGTTTTTGGTGGGTCGCTGGACCCAATGGGAGAGGAAGCCGGAATTCGGCCGGAAAATGCACAATCTTTAAACGGCCATAACTTTGTCAAAACTCAACGAAATCAAGCGAGACAAAAACGAAAGTTGTAGCCCTTGAAGAGACGAAGATAATGGTACCTCACACGACGTCTAACTCGCCGTGGTTTGACCGCAAAACGCCTCGAAAGCCGTCGGACTCGCCGGAAACTGGGTAAGATTCAAATGAGTATAACGTCTTCAATACTCAACTAAATGGGGTGAAACAAAAAGGAAAGTTGTAGTACTTGACGATACGAAGAGATTGATACCTTGTACGCCGGCCAACTCGCGGTAGTTTGGCCGGAAATTGCCTCGAAAGGGGCGGTGCTCGTCGGAGGCTTCTGGGATTTCGTCGTCCTTTCTACAACGGATGAGAGAAAACTGCAGAGGTTGTGATGGGTGCTGTCATCTTCATTGATGTGGTGTGGAAGTGAGGATTTGCAGGGAAGAAGGGCACGGGTGAGAGGGAGAGAGTTGTGCCGAGGGAGAGAAGAGGGAGAAGAGAGAAAGAGAGACTTTTCAGAAGAAAAAGAAAATAAATAAAAGAAAGGGAAAGGGAACGGGGGACAAAACAGGGGGTGGGCTCTTGGGCACACCATTTAAGACCCAAAATAATTTTAAAAACAAGATAAACTCAAACTTAGTAAAAATATGATTTAAATTAGGGGCGGGTGTAACATCTACTCTAAGAAATGAAAATATTATACATTTTTTTTCCGAATAACGTATCTTCATAGTACAATGCAAGCTAAAATGAAGGCATAATCCACATTATGCCATGTTGACAGGATGTGACAGAAGAAATGAACTCGGGCTAAAATCAAATTACATGTTCCATGAGGCCCACAAAGAAAGCAATGGATAATATTAGGTGGGCCCAACTTTTGAGGTAGAGGGTTGAAGAAACGCATCTCTCACACTCGGTCTCTCCTCAGGGTCGTAGAGCAGAACACAAAGCCAGCTGGTGCGGCCTCCGTCGACTCCTTCTCCGGCGGGGGTCTCTTTCGTCTCCGGTAATTTCTGCAACAATTAATTAAAATCTTTACTTACTAATCCTAATCAGTTTCTATGGTGATGATATGCACACACGCAGATCAGGATGTATGTAATTGGACCTTGCTTCCGAGAATTAATCAAAGATTTGATCTAAAATCTGAAACAGTTTACTGTTTGTGATTTTTTCTTCTTAGAAATCTTAATTAAAAAGTTTTCATAATTTGTTGTTTATCGTTAGAGGGAGAGCGCGAGTAGTGTTGCAGCAGCAAAATGAAAATGGGACAAGATATGTTGCTGAAAGTCCTACTAACTCTGCCTCCCAAAACTCTGATGCGATTCAAATGTGTCTCTAAATGGTGGTCCGCTCTCATCAACAATCCGGGTTTCGTGTCAAAGCACCTCTCCATCTCCGCGAACAACAATCTCACCACTCTCCACGTCTTTTTGGCGCGATTAGTAGTGCAGCGGCAGCATGAGGAGGTGGAGGAGGACCCCAAGTGTAACAGCACCACTAAGAAGGAGGAGACTGAAGAAGTATTATCATTTCTTGAGCTTTGCAAAGACGATGATAATACTGATGACGAGCATGGCAATAGCTGCTCTCTTGTTGGTGTCCAGGACATCATTATTCCTCAATCTTTGATTCAAAATATCGGAGTGCCGGAACAACAATTTGGTATCGAAGGCCACTGCAATGGCATCGTTTTACTATCTAGTGAGAGTAGCCTAGTTTTATGCAATCCCGGAATTGGGGAATTCAATCGTATTCCCGATGAGCCATGCCTTCCAATGTGGCCCTTGGACCAGCCGGATGATTACGATGGGCAAGACCATCTCGAAACTGGTTTTCATACTGGATTTGGCTATGATCCCATGTCTAATGAGTACAAAGTTGTGACCTTTACTACTTATTTTCAAGAGGCAGATGAAGACCGCTGGAGATTTCTTAGTCGGCACAGAGCAGTGGTATACACCATGGGTTGTGATTTTTGGGAAGAGATCAACACAGATTCTTTAGAAACCGAAACTACTTTGTTTTGGCCTAAGCATTTCGAGATGTCCTTCAAGGGAATGTGTTATTGGCTGGGAATTGAGCAAGATAAGGAATTATTTCCATTTGACGCAGTTGGGCATCGATTCCATGCGAATGGGACATTGATCATTTCCTTCGATACAAGCCGTGAGGTATTTCACGGTATACCCTTACCATCTGAGCTCCAACAGTTTGTCCGGTCGAATCACCTCTATTTGAAGCTTACTGTTTGGAATGAATCAGTTGCTTTTTTTGCCCTTAGTGTGGACCATCGTCGATATCCTGAACCTTATGAAATGTGGGTGATGGATGATGACTTTAAGGGTGCTTGGACAAAACACTTGACTATTGAGGGCACAGATGATCAGATACGTAGGTCTAGACCTGTGGCGTTGTGGGGCGATGAGTGTCTTATGGTTGACAGTGATGGATACGATGGACACGTAGTTTTCTTTAATCTTTGTACCAAAAAGCTTAAGCATATTCCCATTGAAACAAAACATCATGAGAATGTTTTTGTTTATGTGAATAGCATAGTTTCGGTCATGGGACGCAGCCACAAGCTTACGAGCATAGAGAATACTTGCTCAGATAAAGATGAAGATGCGATGGTGATGGTAGACGGGGAGAGGGAAAGCTGCAAGAGGTTGTACTCATATTCGGTTTGGGCCATTCCACCGGCTGATGTTTCCCATAGAATGAAGAAGGTGATGGAGGGCCTCCAGGCAGAGTTTGGTGGGCCGGAGATCGAACCTCACATCCCCATCTTGGGATCCATCCAGATGATGAGTCGTGAGGATGCCCTTAACAAGTTTAGATTTGCTCCTATGGATGACATCGTTGCTAAAGTTGATCGGGTGGTTACTAAGAATTACTTTTACCAGTGTGTTTCATTATTGATGGATCGAGAGGTATATATTTTCTCGATCCCTTGTTAATACATATTCATTTTCTTGATATTTTGTTTTGTTCTGTTTTGTTTCCTTTTCATCTTTCTCGTTTTGGTTTGAGCTTGAATAGACTCACTTATCATTACACCTTCTTTTCTTAGTTATTTGAAAATGCCCAACGTTGGAGCTACCATTTCGGTTTCTACAATAGTAAGTTGTTGTTTACAGTAACTTAATTTCTTCTCGTGTTGACGGGAATGTACGTACGTAATCTGTGTGTCTGCAATATTTGATGCAGGTTCTATGCCATATTTGAGTCTTTTCTACGGGAAGTTGACGGAAGAAGAAAGGAAAAAAGCTGGAGAAATTGTTAATATTCTCGACGAAAGCATTACTAGCTTGACCTTCCCCGTAACTCACTTTGCATTGTATGAAATTGACTACGATGACAGATCTCTGAAATCTTGGACCAAGATTGCTGAAATCGGTCATTAGACAAGTTCTCCAGTTGCATATATATGCATAGCACTTGACATCCCACATCGCCCCGGGGGTGGATCCTCTATGCCTTATATGTATATTCTCATCTCTTCCTAGCATGAGGCCTTTTGGGAGCTCACTGGCTTTGGAGTTCATCGGAACTTCGAAGTTAAGGGAGTAGCGCACGAGGTCAATCCCATGATGGGTGACCCACTAGGAAGTTCTCGTCTGAGTTCCCAGAAACAAAACCGTAAGGGTGTGGTCGGGACCCAAAACGGATAATATCGTGCTACGGTGGAGTCGAGCCCGGAATTTAATGAGGACTAGGGCTGGGATGTGACATTTTAGATTTTAGGACTTAAATAAGATATTTTTATATTTTAACCTGAATGGTTTTCTAAATCTAATTCAAGTGTTTATTATTAAAACTTACCATATTTAAGTATTTATAACATTTATAAACCTATTCTTAGTTAATGTACATTTTTATGCTCCAATCATACTAATAGATAAAAATTTATCCAAAATTTAAATTCTTATAATTAAAAAAATCAACAACATTACATAAAAAATTTATATGAAAAAAAAACTTATAGGTACAGAGTATTGTTACAAATGTATCGGTAGATAAAGTTGTGGTACGAATACATTAGTACATAAGTTTTAATACAAATGTATAGCCGACGTAACTATAGTATATACATACGTACGTAATATGCACATATATATTTATGGAGAAATTCACGCATAGTGAAGAAATTGAACTTATCACAAACTCAATTGTCTTTTATGCGCGCTACAAGCGAACCTGAAAGCTTATTACAAACTATTTCATACAAATCCTTCCAAAAGTCGTGGAACTTCAAAAAATCCTCTCATAGAAATACATGGGACTTAGGAACTTCAGAAAATCCTCTCACTGAAATACATGGGACTTAGGACTCGTTTCATAAATGCTTTTAAACGATTAAAAATACTTTAAATAAAAAGAAAAACTAACGAAAAGTTCAAAAAAACTTTAGTTTTAATGAAAAATGAAAAATAAAGATGTAGTGAATAGTATCAAGGAAATGTAAAATATGATTTTTCGTTAAAAATAAACAGCATCGAGAATATTTCGTTAAAACTCCTTAAAAAAATTAATTTTGAATTACAAAAACACTAAAAATGTTTCTTACAATTTTTTTAAGCTAAAGCCCAACAGGCCCCAAGTTGATAAACCCGTAACCCCTTTCCGCGCTATGGCGCGAAAAGACTCCCAATTCCAAAAATCCAGTGCGACATTAGGGTTTCACCTCACATGCTACCGGTAGTCTGGGCACTGCTGCTTCCTCTCCCCCACCGCAACGATGTCCGGATTTTCAGACCAGCTCGAAGAAATCAAATCCCTGATTTCTTCAGCCGCCACCAAAGAAAACAAGTCATTCGCCTACTCCACCCTCTTACACCTCCAGCAGCAATCCTCCAACTGCCACGGTTCAATTCAAATGCTTGCACGGAGCTGCCGGAGCCTCATCCGTCCGACCGTCGCCGATGTTCGGAAGAATGACGAAGAAATGTGAGTTCTTCCGATTCGAAATGTCATTTTTCTGGGTTTTTCATTTATTTTAATGGCATGGTTTAACTGAATACGTCTTGGATGTTTCTTTTTTATTTAAAAAAATTGCTGTGCAACTCAGGTATTGAAATGCTTGGGCTTTATAATCAGTGGCGGATCCAGGATTTCAAGATCGAGGGGTCCCAACATAAAAGCTCAAAAAAAAAATATTAGACTAATTTGGTTCCATATTACTATTTTCTACTGAATTTGGTTAATTAAATAAATCAAGATTAATCTCAAATGTAATAAAACTAACAAATTCTCCTCAGCAACATATCGCAAATAATGACTCTACAAAGATAAAAGTTGTTAATGTAACATATATCTTATTAACTGGGAGTTGGAACTCTGGAGTCTAGGATTTAAAAACCTCTTCTTCTTCTTTGTTATAAGCACTACTGCCTGCACATCCATGGAGGCAACAAGCCTTTCCACTGCACATGCCCAAATTATTGGAGGGTCCCGAAGGTCGATCATAAATGTTTCTTCAGGCTTCCGAAGGGTCCCGAAACCCCCCAGGTCCCTTTATGGATCCGCCAGTGCTCATTATGGCTGCTAAGACCAAACCACGGTGACAGGTGCACTTATAATTACATAGGGATTGTACTGAAGCTTTCAGTCACTGGTTGAAAAACATTTATACAAAGCGAGGAGCAAATATTTCCGGTTATACAGTGGGGGCACGAATTCATACCAAAAATAGAGAAGAGTTTATTTCCTCTATCTCTTCTACGATTTATATTTGGCAAAATTGACTAGGAGATGATGCACAATGCAGAGGTACGTATGAAAACTGATATTAGGCTGCGAGTATTGTTAGTATAGAGGCTATAGACTCAGTAATGCTAAATATGAAGGTGCAATGTATATCAATTAATTCGAGATTGATGCTTAATTGGAATTGGAGTGGCCCAGTTGTGCTTTTCCTCGTGGGATTCAAAGCTCTTATGTGAATACACATGGAAGATAAGCTCTCATGCCTCATTTGAACACCATCACATTTGATATTTGAATTGATCTTATATGGACGAGTATGCATGGTTCTCATGAAGGGATAAAACTTTTGCTTAACTAAGTTGAGTCTAAAAAAAATTGTTGAAAACATTCGCATGGTCAAGACGTGGGCTACGGAGAAGATCGAAAAGCCACTTATATGGCTAAGTGAAGATGGTGTCACGTGTGCTTCTCAACAAAGCTTCAATATTACTGCTGGAGGAGACAAAAATTGATATCTTCAATTTAGCTAACATATTATACATCAGTTTGTGGTCTCCATAACATGAATTTCTCTAGTTAATTTATTATTCTCTATATGGCTATGACAATGAGAAAATTACGGAATTGGTAACTCGTGCAAGGCCAGATATGAATTGTGGAGCAATATGAATACTCAAGCGCTAGGGGAACCAATTGCCTGCACACAAAGCTTCTAAGCAAAGAAATTGCAGGGTAAATTCACTCTGATAGTAAGGAAGTTGCCTACTAGATAAGAATTTCTATCCTATATATGCTCATTGGTAAGACTTCCGCTAATTTGAAATACAATTACTTTGGGGGCATGTTAGTCATACACAAATGTATGGTCGAATTCCAACCTCATGATCGGTGATCGTTTGACCGAGTGTCGAAGACCCAAGACCAAATCATGCATTCACATATGATCGTAGCCGAAGGCTAAACATTGATCGTATGATCGTAGCCGAAGGCTAAACTATGATCGTATGAACGTAGCCGAAGGCGAAATATTGACCATATGATTGTAGCCGAAGGCTAAACATTCACCTATGACCGTAGCCGAATGCTGAATTATGATCATATGATTGTAGCCGAAGGCTAAACATTGACCCCTTGTGTCACATCCCGGCCCGGGGTCCATCATTTCCCGGGCCCGCTCCACCATTGTAGCATGATATTGTCCGCTTTGGGCCCCGACCACTCCCTCAAGGTTTTGTTTCTGGGAACTCACACGAGAATTTCCCAGTGGGTCACCCATCATGGGATTGCTCTCGCGCGCTACTCGCGAAACTTCGGAGTTCTAATGGAACCCAAAGCCAGTAAGCTCCCAAAAGGCTTCGTGCTAGGTAGGGGTGGGAATATACATATATGGATCACTCTCCTAGGCGATGTGGGATTTTTACAATCCACCCCCTTTAGGGGCCCGACGTCCTCGTCGGCACACTTCCGGCCAGGGGATTGGCTCTGATACCATTCTGTCACATCTCGGCCCAGGTACCTGGAGGGGCGCAAAACAAAGTTGAGTGGGTCAGTTGGTATCAGAGCTTTGGTGGCCACGATGAATCCAACGGTGTTCTGACAGAATTCACAAAAGTAGGACTCACACTCGGGTGTTACGTCTTAGTAATTGTATCTTTAAAGCTTCCGAACTGTGTAAATGGTTACGTCACTCTCACATGACGACCAGCATGCCCTCCTTCGGGACGAGGTGTGTCACCTTGGTCGTAGCCAAAGGCTAAACTATGACCGTATGATCGTAGCCAAATGTTAAATTATGATTGTGAGATCGTAACAGAAGGCTAAGTTATGATCAATTGATCGTGGCCTAACGATAATATGATTGTGTGATCGTAACCAAAGGGTAAACTATGATCGTAGACACAAGCTAAACTATGATTGTAGCCGAAGGCTAAACTCATGATGATATCTCAAGTCAAATGAATTTTTGCAAAGAAAACATTTTTCCTCTACAAACCCTAAATGATATGTGTTTGCAGAGAAAAAATGGGGCAATGTGGGAGCCAAAAATTACTCCTCCACTAAACAAGCCACTAGCATGCTAAATAATTTATGCAAAAATTCAATTCAATTTGAAATCATTGTCATGATTGAATTTCAATGTCTCTTAGAACATAATGTTTGTCAATTTCTTTGAACTCAATTAGATACCTTAAATATTTTCGATTTGGCTAATATTTTGCAAGAATCATCTATGAGGTACAACTTGAAAAATAGACAATTCAGATCGTTGAAGTTTGATATAACGTGGGATCTCACAACTATCCTTGAATAAAATGAGACATGTTCTCTTAAAGACTCTCTATTCACACACAAAAACAATTTTTGATAATTATAGTGCGCGGTGTATAGAATTTTTTTTTCCCTTATGCGTGAATAAATGTAAAAAGAAAAAAAAATTATATGCGGAGCGCACTGTAATGTTTAAAATACATTTCCGTACGCGCTAATGTGCATGCATAAAGTTTAATAATTAATTAAATTATTTACAGACTAAAACTATAACACAAAGTTTTTGTTTATTAACAATAAAATGACTCAAATGCCCTTGCTTTCTTCTCCGTTCCCCACGGGTCGATCTTCATCTGCGTACGCGTCGATCATCGTAGAATGCTCCGCTTCGACTACACATCTTCTGGAATTTTCGTTCCGTTTCCACTTCTTTCTCTCAAAAGCTGGGCTTTTCCATTTGCTTCCGGCAGTCTCCATCGAACTCCATTTCTCTCTCGCGATTTTCCACGAACCACAACGTATGCTACCTATCCCGTCCCGATTCGTAGAAAATTCCTCAAGCGGCCTTCATTTCATGGTAAGTCCTCTGTCTCTCTCTAGAATTTGAAACAATTTGATTTTACAAAACCCTAATTCCTCAAGCGGCTTTGATTTCACGGTAAGTCCTCTCTTTCTAGAATTTTGTTTGGGATTCTCTCTTTCTCCCTTTGTCATTTCCGCTCAATCTCTATGGTTGCATCCCACTATTCCGTGCAGTAGAGCTCGATAGCAGTTTCGGTGATTCTCAATTGCCCAGTACATATAATTTGGCTTCAATTTGTTCATTTTCTTCCGAATTTCTGTGCCATTTTTTTTGAGGCGCAAATGATCCCAAATTCAAATTTCCGTAAATTGATAAATTAGTTGCAGGTTTTCAGCTTCCTAATGGCTAAAGCATGTTTCTTTTTTATTACCCAATTGCGTAATTTCACCAAAGTTACAGTTTCTTCTCTCTCTCTCTCTCTCTTTGTGAAATAGTTTGTCGATTGTTAACTGGTGAAGATTTTACTGTTCCTGTTTTCGTAACTGCAATTCCTGGATGAAGCATTTAAGAACTGTCACATAATTGTTGAGACTTTATTTTGGTGTTTTGCGTTTAATTTGGTGTTTGTGTGGAATTTTTGCAGGAACGGTGTTTTCTTATGGGCAGACCAACAGTGCGCAATGGTTCCAAAAGAGACTCGGGTATCATTCATCGAGCTGTTAGAGATGTCATTATAAAATTCAGATGGTAATGAGCTATAAAGGATCTCTTAATTTGAAATTTGATTTTTACTTGATTAAATCTGATGTTTACTGTGTTGAATTTGGTGCTGCTTTATGTTTTCAGATGTCCTGCTAGGAGTTTTTAATTCTGAGTACCAACCTACATGGAATTGCACAATGAGAAAATTGACGACCTCTTTGCATTAGAGAACCAAAAATTGCAGATTCATGAGAGTTTGGAGGTTGCTACGAACCCTTTTCACATATTTAGTTAGCTTCTTTTAAGTGAACTAAATTTTCGTGTGCAGTGAATATTTGTTGCTGGCCTCATGGAGGAAATTGTCAGTAATGTCGAACAGGTGATGAAGCTCATTGAATCTGGAGAAGGTTTGCACTTGGAAACCAAAACTTGAGTTTCTGGGTTTTTGGTTTTACTGTACTTTTTCACTTGAATGTTCATTCTTACATACACCTGCAAAAATGTTTCTTACAGTTAATAGGCACTTTGGAGAACAAATATGAATGCTTGGAGTAGTAGATCTCACACAACATTCAGAATGGCATTTGGAGTAGTAGATTTCAAAGCCATCTTCATATAGTATACATTTCTATGCAGAGCTTCCAATTAAATTTTGGAATTACAACTAACTCCCAAGTAATGGTATTTGTATCTTATGAGGTAGTTTTCTGAGGAAGTTGGGATTTTTACTTATTTTTTTTGTGTAATCCCAATTGAAATTTCTCTCTCTCTCTCTCTCTCTCTCTCTCTTGGTGAGATTTACAAGTATCCTTTTCCGATTGGTTACAATGGTTCTGTTCATCTCTCCAATTGGTTTTTTTATTCTCTCTAACCTTTTGTCTAATTTATTTTCATTTTTTTGGGTGGCTTTCTGCTAAAGTTAGTATGAGCTTTTCGCATGACATGGATGATAAGTACGAGAAACTCATCCAGAGAATGAACCTACCAAGGTGTATGCATAAATCATACCTTAAATTCCTCAAAATCACTTCAATTATTTACCATGTCCCTTATTGAGATTTACGCCTCTTCATCCAATGTTGTTTTGTCTCAGGGTTGTAATTGATAACAGAGCGAACTAACATGGAATACTTCTGGAAGTTGTAGTACTTACTGATCTCAACCTTATTGTTACGAAAGCGTACATATCTTGGGATGGTGGCTGGTTCATGGATGATAAAAATCCTTTTATTACTGACTTTTTCATCGCTGTAAAAATTGTCTTTTTTTGTTTGAGGTAGAAACTGATTATGTGATTTGGCTTTGAAATCGATTTTAAATGCTGCTGATCAAAATGGAAACAAGGTTATAGATGAGGTTTTGGATTATATTCTAAAAGCTAATCCAAAAGTAATTGTGTTTGCCATTTGTTTTTTCTGCTTTTGCAGCGAAAGATGTAAAAATACTTTATTCAAAGGTTACATTTGTTTGGTCTACTGTGGTTGTATTTTTTATTTGATTATGCTTTGTGATTGTGTGTATATTGTTTGTTCTGTTTCTTAAGATTGTGATTAAAAGAAACCTTTTTGAGATTATGTGAAAATTCATTTTGTGAAGGAATTTGATAGTTAAATGTTTCTTCAGGTATGAATGGCTCCCAAAAGAAAGAAAAGACTGCAACTTCATTAACTGACGGAATCAATCTCAACATAAAGGAAAGTTTCTCAAAGTGTGCTTTATTCCTAGGGTGAGATTTCAGTTTATTAAATTTTTTTGTTCATGTGGGTTTTGAATTTTATGATAAGATTTTTTCTTAATTGGTACGCAAAAGCTTATAAAATCTGTGTTCTTTGGGTCTGACTTTTTATTGTTTTGTTATGAAATTGTTAATTGATTGCTTATTGTTAATTTGATACTTTTTTTTTGGTGCTAGCTCCAATTTCATGCTCTAAGAAAGTTATGGATTCATTTTTCGTAGCACATATTAAGTTATCAATATGCAGAAGAGATAAATTAGTTTCAATTCTTAAATTATCAGTATACAAAAGAAAGATCTATTAGTTTCAGTTTAAATACTTTTGGAAAGTTAGAGATAGCTCTATTAGTTACAATTTATATACTTTTTGAAAGTTGGAGATATGCTGAGCATGTTGGAAATTTGAAGTAGTACTTTTGTTTACTCCAAACTATGACGTATAGTTCCTTTAATATTTTTGATCCATTTGAATTGCTAGAAAATGACACGCTGCATCCATCATCAATCCCACTACTGTATGTTTGTCAATATTCATTCCACTTTGTTACACTGAATTTAACTTTGGTAGTCTTTCAAGCATAATTATATCCATACAATTTTTAATCCCACAGCAACGCGCGGGCATCAAATTCTAGTAGGTAAGTAATTCGTAAACCATTTTCACATTTTTCTCATGTCATTCAATTTATATTTGCTGAATGAAGAGGTATGTGTTCAGAAAACGTCTTTTAGTTTTATAAGAGAACTTTTTTAAAACAAAGTAAAGAACAATACAATCAAACAAAAGGATGAAGCTTGACAAAATCATACAGAACAACCATACTGGCATATTCATCAGAGCAAGGAAAATGCCAACAAACAACCATACTTGTCATTCAATTTATTTTCGCTGAATGAAGAGGTTCTTGTTCAGAAGAAGAGTCTTTTTATTTTATAGGGGATAATACTTTTAAGCCAAACAAAACTACAATAAAACAAAAGTTGAAACTTGACAAAATCATACACTACAACAAACTCACTCAAATACGAAAGAAAGCTAAACATATTCAACAATTACATGATAAAGTTTAAGAACTATCCTATTCAGCAATCCCGAAAGAAAAATGCTCCATGGCATGTTTACCAGCAAAGAACCAAGCACAATCCAAAACCCCGTAAAGAATCCAACTCCCAAGCTCACGTAGAACCACTCGTCTTCGAGTATATGGTATCCTCCCCCTCCATCTTGCTCGACTGTTGGTGGTGGTATTACTCCATTCGCGCTGCAATTGTTGTTGAGTGGAGGTCCGCAGAGTTCATTGCCGACGAAGCTAGACTGATTAAGGCTCTGCAGCTGAGTGCTTTCCGGAATTCGTCCTGTCAATTTGTTGTTGGATAAGTTCAAGTGACTCAGAAATGTCAAAGTCGTCATGCTTGGAGGAATTCCACCATGGAGTTGGTTCATGGAAAAATCGAGAGATTCTAACTTTGCCATATTACCAATCTTTGAAGGAATTCTTCCGGTGAATCTATTATACGATAAATTGAGCGACTGCAATTCCATGAGGCTGGTAAGTTCTTCAGGAATCTCTCCAGACAAAAAGTTGCATGAAAGGTCCATGCTTTTTACGAATCCCAGAATCTTGCTATATTCTACTTCTCTCCCTTTCGTTACCAAGATTGCATTCTCTACAAATGAAAATTCCACTACAGAACTCCCAAACCCAAACGATATTGACCCAAATGATTCTGACAAATCAGCCATGGTGCTCAAATTGTGGAAGCATCTTGGTATCGTTCCTGAGAGTTTGTTACGTGCAAGGTCCAATATCTGGAGCCTTTTCAAATAACAAACTTCATGAGGAATGTCTCCTTTAAACTCATTCGAACGAAGGTTCAGAATCTGCAACCCTGAAAGGCTTTTCCCAATCCATATTGGTATGCTTCCAACAAACTCATTTCCACTAAGGTCAACAATCGACAACTCGGTACAGTTCTGTAGGGAATGTGGCAATTCTCCGTACATGTGATTATTGCGCAAGTGCAGCGAACTCAGTCTTTGCAAGGATCCCACGGACATTGGGACATTCCCAGTTAGGTGGTTGTTTTCTAAATTTAGGACTACCAAGCTTTGCCAACTCATCCAACAGTCGGGTACTTTTCCAGTGAGAAGATTGTTCCCGAGATGAAGAACAAAAAAATAATACATTGGTTTATCCGGATCCGGCCTATCACAGAAGAAGTGGAAAACAGATCCAGAAAATGATGAATTGGAAAGATCTAGCAAATTTAATTTTGAGGTGGGAACAATAGGCAATGCACCAGTGAATTGGTTAGAACTAAGATCAACCGCTGAACCTTCAGCACTAAATATATTTTGAATCTGCCCATACAACTGATTGTGAGAGAGATTCAGATAGTCTACTTGGGAAGTTAAGTTCCAAAACCAAGTTGGAATGGTACCTGAAATTCCTGTACCAGACAAGCTTAGTTCTTTTAATTGTGTTTGTGTCCGCAACCACATTGGCCATTCAGATCCCAGATGCCATGAATCCAATTGCAAAATTTCAAGTTGAAAAGGAGGAAGCCAATCTCGACTAGTTTTCAGAGTAAATGAGTTTCCATTTGCAATGAAATGCTTCAACTTTGAAAGGTTGCTAAAAGAAACTTCTGACACTGCACCTTCGAACGAATTATAAGATATATCCAAATCCGTTAGCATTTTGAGTTGACAAATAACTTCTGTGAAAGTTCCATTAAACTGATTTCCAGATATGTCCAATTTTTCTAAGCTTGACAGATTTCCTAGGGACATTGGAATGGGACCTGATATATTAGTATTCCTCAATGACAATGATTTTATTCTATCTGGACCACATCTGGACAAAATTTCAAAGATTTCAGATGGTCTTTGAATCGTGAAATGGTTCTCTGACAGATCAAGAACTTTCAACTTACAAAGATGTCCCAAAGAATTTGGGATTTTCCCTTCCAACAGATTATAATTTAAGTCTAGATTGACAAGGGATGTCATGTTTCCAATGGAACTCGATATTTCACCACGTAAGGCATTGAAAGAAAGAAATAAGGACTCGAGATTGTTCAAGCTATACAACCATTCAGGTATGGTAGAATTGAAGTCGTTCTGACTGAGATCAAGAATTTTAAGACCAGTCATATTCTGAATACTGCTTGGAATCGGATCAAGACTAATAGAATTGAATGACAAATCAATTTCCCTCAAAGATGTGATATTCTGTGAAATGCTAGGAATTGGACCTTGGAAATCACAATCAGTGAGACGAAGAGAATCTAGATTTTTAATACTGAAAATCCACCTCGGCATCAAAGAATTAAAAAAGTTGAAAGAAAGATCAAGAATGACCAGGGAAGTAAAATTTGCGGTGGGTAGGTGGGGAATTTGATCAAGTTGACAACTGGACATAATTAACTCTACCAAAGAAGGGAGCATGTTTGTAACTTGCAACCAGTCGGATGCTTTGCTAAGATTTACAGAACTCAAGTCCAAGTGTTTCAGCAGAGAAAGACCAGAAATCCACTGAAGGTTCTCTACCTTTAGATTATAGTAACTACTGAGATTGAGATATCGTAGACTAGAGAGATTTCCCAATTTATGAGGAACTATTCCATAAAACTCTGAGTATGCAAGGTTAAGGTGTGTTAAACTTGTCATAGAACCAAAGAAACTAGGAATTTGTGTTCCATTGAAATGATTGTAACTCAAGTCCAAGAAGTTGAGATGCTTTAAACCGAGCAAAGAAGGATTTATCATACCACCAAACGAAGATTTGACATCCAAAAAAGAGTGATAAGAACTATTAAGGTGCAGCTCGTGGACGTGGCCGGTTATGTGATCACAGACAACACCTGTCCAACTGCAACAGTCTGAATCTTCTTCTGAAACCCACGATGCAAGCCGATTGGCAGGGTCCTTGAGATCTTGCTTGAACATCAGAAGTGCTTGCCTTTCGCTTTCTTTGCAAAGTAGAGGCCAACCGGGATTTCCATTGCATAAACCAATACTGAATGTAATGGTTGCAATGGCTAGAAACCTGATTAGTAGTAAAACAACTCTCATGGTTCTCTCCATAAAGTTCTAGTGTATGAAGCAGGTGATTTGTATGAGCAATGAACAATCCAGAGTAGTGCTACCTATATATACTAGGGAGCCTCACCTTTTCTAAACCATCCTCTACGGCATGAGACCGCATTTTCAAAATCGGTGCGCATCAATGAGAGTAGCAGTCGGACGGACTCTTGGAATCTTTGACAAAAGTTTCATAGATGATAAGATGGTTAAACTATGCGGCTATATAGGACTAGCCAGTCCACATCTATAGAGACAGAAGTTAATTTATGACCCCACTTAGAATTGGGAATCGTCGGTCCTTCAAAAGGTATTTGGAAGTGTAACATAAATAGAGATGAAAAATTATTTTCTTTAATGGATGTGATATTTACTGGGATATGATATTATAGGGATTGGAACTTGGAAATTACAACCCTAATGTAAAGAGAAATGCAGATTTACTTGTTTCATGGAATCTCTGTCAACGCATAATGTTAATACGAGAATTGACGTTAAATTGTGAGGTGTCAGAGTCCTCCTTAGCATTTCTCAAGTGCAAATGAATGTAAAATTTGTGATGCTTTCTGCAACAGCATCTCCAAAGGAGTTAGCAAAAACTTTTCTTTTATAAATGTTGTGTGCTGACTCATGTGGCACTTTAATGAATTTCTCAATAATATAAAATCGCCAACTGTTCAATGAAATCCAACACGAACAAAAAGGATTTAAGCATCAAATGTTGAAATAGATTTCCTTGTCGATGATCACAGCTTAGGGATAAGTGGCATGGTAGAAAAACAGCACCTCTGCGTTCATAATATCTGGAAGCAGGGGCGTTTGCTAAAAGTGAAAGAGCAGATATTGCACCAGCAAACCAATATTCAAGCTTGTGGTCTTTTGAATCAACTTTTCTATGCAAACATATGACACCCTAACACTGAGAAAGAGTAAGAATGTCGCTAACGTATTATACAAGTAGGAAAAAGCAAAACAGAGGAATAAAAGTAGTAGGAAAAAGCAACACAGAGGAATAAAAGTACGCAAAAGATTCCAACAAACGCGGAAAAAAATGATGTTGAGCGAAAAGCATCTGTAAGAGCAATTAAAAAGGTGCGAGCACGGCCTCTATGAACCAAATGGAAGAAAAGTTGAAAATTACTGTCAAGATATTCCTTGGAAAAAAAAAGAAAAAAAAAACGGGGATTCCAACAAATGAGTAAAAGTGCGACGTACAAGCCCCCAAGTCGGCAGAACATTCCTTTCGTAAAGTAATTAACTAAAATAAAAATTCAAGAGAAAAATTGGCACCATTTTATGAGTTCGGAGAACAGGTCAATAATACCTCTTTTCTAAACCAATTTCTATGAAAGTGTTATTTGCTAACTTATTTGGTATTTTTATACTACTTTTTCTAAACCATCCTTTTTCTCATTTGAAAGCGAGTAATTTGCTAACTTATTTGCTAACTTATTCGCCAACGTTTGACGAAAAGGAGAACGTAGGCTTTTGTGAATCCCTGCCCATGAATGAGTCAGTCCGACTGTCATTGAATGTTTGATAATGTTAGGAAGTTGAGAAGATAAAATTTTATGTGGAAAATTTGGCCAAAAACTCTGATATATTCCATATGATGACAAATGCATGAAAAGTCATGCAGAATAATTAAAGCTTTGATTTTTCTTGCTCAAAGATGATAAGAAGGGTTGAACTATACATACAGCCATTTAAGTAGCTAGTCCATCTGTAGAGGCAGAACTTTAAGGCCAGTCGTATTCGCGGCCCCACCTGGAACTGGGAACAATCCTTGGTACAAGTCGTAGCTAAGACTAAAGACCCTCCTTGCTAGCTAGGCATATCAAACAAGCAAATGTTTTAATCCACAACTTTATATATTCCATACGATGAACATGAAAATTCAAACAGAATAATTAATTAAAGCTTTGGCTTTTCTTGCTCGAAGATGATAAGAAGGGTTGAACTGTACAGCCAACACGTAGACTTGAGAGAGACGTAGGCTTTTTAGAATCCATGCCCATGAATGAGTCAGATCGGCTGTCATTGAATGTTTGATAATGTTAGGAAGTTGAGAAGATAAAATTTTATGTGGAAATTTTGGCCAAAAACTCTGATATATTCCTCATGCAGAATAATTAAAGCTTTGATTTTTCTTGCACAAAGATGATAAGAAGGGTTGAAACTAGGCCTGGCAATTTCTGACACGACCCGATAACCCGACACAACACGACACGAAATTAACAGGTGTTTGGGTCGACACGATAACGAAACGGGCCGTTATCGGGTAACCCGATAAGCACCTGTTAAGATAACGGGTTGGTTCGGGTATACACGTGGGTAACACGATAAGCAGAATATTAATTTAATAATTTTATAACCCTAAAAAAATACTATAATAATTATATATATATATTAAATTTTAAATTAAATTTTATACCCCTAAAAACTATAATAATTATACATACAAAATAAATAGATTTAAATCTACTTAATAAATAAATAAATATATATATATACACACACACACACCATTGAACTTCATGGGATACAAATTATACGAAACTAATTTCAACGATCCAACCGTCAAACTTGTTTGTATATGCTTCGAGATTGCATCAACAAAAAATTACAAAAAAAAAACATTCACAGATTAAGTAACGAGACAAAACTTTTCGACAGTTATAAACAAAAAATCACGACTTAACGGTTATTTTAACTCCGATTTTGATGATTTTTTATAGCTACACTCCTTGACCCTATATGAATACAATGAATGAATTCAATCTTCAATTTAAAATATTTGCACTAGGGGATACCACAAAATCTTATGTTATACTTGATGAAAGTATGAATAAACTCTTAAGTGTTAGTGAATCTATTGATTTGATGGGATACGCATTCTATGAAACTAGTTTCAACGATCCAACCGTCAAACATGTTTGTATATACTTCGAGATCGCATACGCCAAAAATTGCAAAAAACAAACATTCAGAGATCAAGTAACAAGACAAAACTTTTCGACGGTTATAAACGAAAAATCACGATTTAGCGGTTATTTTAACTCCAATTTTGATAATTTTTTACAGCTACACTCCTTGACCCTATATGAATACAATGAATAAATTCGATCTTCAATCTAAAATATTTACACTAGTGGATACCACAAAATCTTATGTTATACTTAATGAAAATATGAATAAACTCTTAAGTGTTAGTGAATCTATTGTTTTGATGAGATACGCATTTTGCGAAACTAGTTTCAACGATCCAACCGTCAAACTTGTTTGTATATGCTTCAAGATCGCATACGTCAAAAATTGCAAAAAACAAACATTCAGAGATCAAGTAACGGGACAAAACGTTTCGACGGTTATAAAGGAAAAATCACGATTTAACGGTTATTTTAACTCCGATTTTGATGATTTTTTACATCTACACTCATTGACCCTATATGAATACAATGAATGAATTCGATATTCAATTTAAAATATTTACACTAGTGGATACCACAAAATCTTATGTTATACTTGATAAAAGTATGAATAAACCTCCTAAGTGTTAGTGAATCTATTGTTTTGATGGGATACGCATTCTACAAAACTAGTTTCAACGATCCAACCGTCAAACATGTTTGTATATACTTCGAGATCGCATACGCCAAAAATTGCAAAATATAAACATTCAGAGATCAAGTAACAGAACAAAACTTTTCGATGGTTATAAACGAAAAATCACGATTTAACGGTTATTTTAACTCTGATTTTGATAATTTTTTACAGCTACACTCTTTGACCCTATATGAATACAATGAATGAATTCGATCTTCAATTTAAAATATTTACACTAGTGGATACCACAAAATCTTATGCTATACTTAATGAAAATATTAATAAACTCTTAAGTGTTAGTGAATATATTGTTTTGATGAGATACACATTTTGCGAAACTAGTTTCAACGATCCAACTGTCAAACTTGTTTGTATATGCTTCAAGATCGCATATGTCAAAAATTGCAAAAAATAAACATTCAAAGATCAAGTAACGGGACAAAACTTTTCGACGGTTATAAACGAAAAATCACGATTTAGCGGTTATTTTAACTCCGATTTTGATTATTTTTTTACAGCTACACTCTTTGACCCTATATGAATACAATGAATGAATTCGATCTTCAATTTAAAATATTTACACTAGTGGATACCACAAAATCTTATGCTATACTTAATGAAAATATTAATAAACTCTTAAGTGTTAGTGAATATATTGTTTTGATGAGATACACATTTTGCGAAACTAGTTTCAACGATCCAACCGTCAAACTTGTTTGTATATGCTTCAAGATCGCATATGTCAAAAATTGCAAAAAATAAACATTCAAAGATCAAGTAACGGGACAAAACTTTTCGACGGTTATAAAAGAAAAATCACGATTTAGCGGTTATTTTAACTCCGATTTTGATTATTTTTTTACAGCTACACTCCTTGACCCTATATAAATACAATGAACGAATTCAATCTTCAATTTAAAATATTTAAACTAGTGGATACCACAAAATCTTATGTTATACTTGATGAAAGTATGAATAAACTCTTGAAGTGTTAGTGAATCTATTGTTTTGATGGGATACACATTCTACAAAACTAGTTTCAACGATCCAACTGTCAAACATGTTTGTATATACTTCGAGATTGCATGTGCCAAAAATTGCAAAAAACAAACATTCAGAGATCAAGTAACGAGACAAAACTTTTCGACAGTTATAAACGAAAAATCACGATTTAACAGTTATTTTAACTCTGATTTTGATGATTTTTTACAGCTACACTCCTTGACCCTATATGAATACAATGAATGAATTCAATCTTCAATTTAAAATATTTACACTAGTGGATACACAAAATCTTATGTTATACTTAATGAAAGTAAGAATAAACTCTTAAATGTTAGTGAATCTATTGTTTTGATGGGATACGCATTCTACGAAACTAGTTTCAACGATCTAACCGTCACACTTGTTTGTATATGCTTCAAGATCGCATACGCCAAAAATAGCAAAAAACAAATATTTACATATTAAGTAACGAGACAAAACTTTTCGACGGTTATAAATGAAAAATCACAATTTAACGGTTATTTTAACTCTGATTTTGATGATTTTTTACAACTACA